AGGCCAACGGCCAGATGCTCGCCATCAACGAGGTATATCACTTTCCTCTACTCATCATGATACGGGAATGCAACTTTACCCGTGTTTGCTCGGTACCAACTGCTGTAGTAGAGCAATTGATCAGATTTGTTACCGCGCTGGTCTTATTTATGGCGAGGATGCACGATTTTTGTCGGTGCATAAGGAAGATGTATGCAGCGTTGCTGTGTTCTAGACTGACCAAACGTTGGATAAACAGTGTTTCTTGTGCTTGTGCTTGAGGCTTAGACGTTTCTACTGAAGGTCATTAATTCCTTCTGTTGTAGTATATGTGTATATTGGTCTCTGGCTCATTTGTATGTGCTAGGTGTAATTCGTTTGTCTGGTAGATTTTTGTGCAAGTCGGTCTTGGCCTCGTTCTGTGTGAATATAAATTTAATGAACCACTCTCTGAAACAACGTTGTGATACTCCATTCAGTCTATTGGTATCAAATGTGATGCCCAGTTCACCCTGCTTTTCTTATGTTACAAGTGTTTTGAATTATGTCCATGGATACTTGTTGTCTAGTGCCCCACAGTAGCACTGCAAAATATGAGTACACCGATTGGATGTTGCTTCTTTTTTGAAAATACATGTCATATCTAGAATGCATTACAGGTAATAAGAGAGAAAACATTGGAAAATGTGAATCAAGTGTAACCATCAGTTATGACCTGATGCTGTCTTTTCGATTTTTGTTCCCACCCTCTGGATTTTGTTTTGCTCTATATGCTCGTTGATTTTCATTATGTAAAAATGATGCCAATTTATTTATCTGTTTCTCTTTGTCATGCCAATCCTTCATATATTACTGCAACTATCATTCAAGCTGTTCCGGTCATCTTGACAGCAGTATCTATCCATCAAGAAATGAGGTTCGTCACAACTTGGTAGCAAAGCTGACATTACCTGTTATGCTTGACACTAGTCAATTGCAATAAAGATTGTAAGCTCTGTTACCAAGTTGTTGTGGACCCCAATCCAAGATGTGTATTTACAGTCAGGAAGATCACCAGGATGGCTTGGCTCATAGTGAGGGTATATGAAGGTTTGGATGACTAAGAAGGCCAGTAATTGATTTGTTAATCTTTATTGCTTAATGAAAATGGATGTGTCTCTCTTCTTAATAGAGCTGGTAGTACCATCAAATTAAAAGGGATGGTATGTAATTTCTAAATATGTGTCCTACATGTTTCACTAACTGTTATTTGGTCAAAAAATATGTGTGTCAGGAACATTTTCTCTTGTCATGTGCTTTTAACATTTTCACTTGTCACGTGGGGTTGACACATGTGCTTGGAAAGTTATTATAAGTGTCACTTGTTAGTACAACAGAGGTTATACAGTTAGCTTGTGTGCATATAAAAATGTGTACATGAATTTCTGTTATTCTACTCTAGGATTGTACTCCCTCCGTTCATAAATATTTGTCTTTTTGGACATTTTAAATGACTACTACATACGAATGTATGTTGACATATTTTAGAGTATAGATTCACTCATTTTGCTCCGTATGTAGTCACTTGTTGAAATGTCTAGAAAGACAAGTATTTAGGAACGGAGGGAGTAAATGATTACCGGTTTGAAATACTTAAATTGCAACTGGCTGGTGCTGACTTATTTTGTTTGTTCCTTGGTTATAATCTGGTTTTTATCTGCATTTTATCTAATCCATGCAATTCTCCCTGTATGGATGGATGTATTCCACTGTCTTGTCTGCTTATTCTAACACGTATATATTTTTGTGTATGTCTCTCTGTCAGATCTTTGAGAAGAACCCCACCACCATCAAGAACTACGGCATCTGGCTGCGCTACCAGAGCAGGACCGGTTACCACAACATGTACAAGGAGTACCGCGACACGACCCTGAACGGCGGGGTGGAGCAGATGTACACGGAGATGGCGTCGCGTCACCGCGTGCGTGCCCCCTGCATCCAGATCATCAAGACCGCGACGGTGGACTTCAAGCTGTGCAAGAGGGACAACACGAAGCAGTTCCACAACTCGAAGATCAAGTTCCCGCTGGTGTACCAGAAGGTTCGCCCACCCACCCGCAAGCTCAAGACCACCTACAAGGCGACGAGGCCCAACCTGTTCATGTGAGCGGGGGTCCGTACTACAGTACTGTTTTAGCGTGTGTAAGAGTTTGAATGTTTTGCATGTGGAAGTTTTGGTTATGCACTTTGATGATGATGTTTCCTGTTGCCACTTTGGATGATGACTATGCTTTGCGACCCTTGAGTTTCTTCAGTATTATTAGTAATGAGCAGATCCATTGTTGCTTCAGTATGTTTCACTTGTTGCCAGTGTTAACTGCAAGTCCTCAGGTGCAATTTGTTTTTGTTTCGAAAGCAGAACCTGCTGATAATTTTGACTTGTATTTCGTGCTGATTGTTAGCGACTGTGGTAGTGGTTAGCAGGTCCAGAAATTTCTTCGTTTCAGGAAGTAGGCTTGGCAAAACTGCCTACCATCGGAACGCCTCAGGATCGATTGTACGCCTCAGTTTCACTTGCATATTACTCCTTCCGTCTCAAAGATTTGTCTAACACACTAAAATGTAACTAGATACATTTGTATTTAGCTAAATCTAAGACATGAATTTTGGGACAGAGAGGAAATGAGAGTGATCTTGACATTTGCGTTTGTTTTTCCGACGAAACGAAAAAGTTCTGGATTGAGATTTCACATAAGCATTGCACAATGATACCCCCAGCCGGGATCCCTTGCGGGAATTCTTCGACATGAGAATACGATGTCCTAAAAGGGACCGAAGCAATTACCTGAATGGTTTTGCTGCTTGGGGCTCTCCACGAGCACCCCTGGCTACCACACCAGAAGTCTCATTTGTTCCAGTCACATTGAATTGAAGACAGCATCAGTATCTGATGTGCCCACCACAGTTCCGACCTGTATCCTGAAGCTCAACGTGCAGATGATGCAGATTAGCAACGGGCAGTGACAGAATTACTGACCACACGCCACCAAAAATGCATACACCTTCTTGATAGGTCGGTGCACAATAGTTGCTTCTCCTTCTGATGCCGACGATTTGGTGCGCCAATGGGTGTGCCTATGCTTGCTTTTTGCCGTGACGAGAAGTCGGAGCTGCCTACAGCAGGGTCCCGCCGCACCAATAACTCCAATGAGGGTTGTTTTCAGCGGACAATGCTCTTCGAAGGTTGCATTGGACTAGGTCGGGGCGAGGTTTACAACTTTATATTATTATTAATCGTTGCAGCCACGCTGTAGACAGAGCAGATTGAAATTTTGCAGTACAGACAGAGCACAGTTGATAGAAGCTAAATCCAAATAACGCTGCATGCAGGGAATATGCTCAGACCGCTAGATACTGATGCTCTTCAGACAATAAAAACGGGGAGCGCAAAGTAGAGTAATTGGATACAGACCAATGCATCGGCATGGCAGACAACTTTGTACTAAAGTTAGTATAAAGTTGAGTCATCTATTTTGGAACGGAGTGAGTACATGGCAGACAAAAACACCTAGCAATAAGAGAACATAGTTTCGTGCCTTAGAAAAAAAAAACGAAAGATCGTAGCATAGTTTTGCGTGACTAGAGAAACTGCATGAGAATGCTTATATTATGTAGCAAAGCAGGCAAAAACTGCCATCAAAAGAATGATGCTGCTTCTATCTATATAGTTCTCCCTTATGCTGCACAGATCTGGAAGCTTCATTATTACTTCTGCATCATCAACCAATCCTTTCCTTTTCGCGGTACCTGCCGTCGGCGGAGAGATACAACAGAGGACATAAGTCAGCGTGGAGAAGAGGATGTCATTGTGCAGGTGAAAAATCAAAGAACTGTGCTGATACTTACAGATCAGAGGTGTTATGCTTCCAACTGAACTTGCACATCAGACAACTACAGAAAACAGTCAAGACTGCTAAGTCAGTACGCATGTAGATATCACCAACGACCAGCATTTAGTCTTGCGCAGTCCTACTGATTCAGATATGCTTTCACATCAGAAACATAACTGACATGTTGCTGTGCAGCAAACATTTACCATCTATCGACACATATAAAGAGTCGAGTTCTTGATTATAAGAAAAGCTCAACTCTCAGGAAACTTTCACATCACAAAACTACAGGAAACTTAATAATTGTTAATTAATGGTGGATGTTGGAAAGAGCAGGCTTGATTATGCTTCAGTTTTCCGGTCGTCACCAACTCAGACTACGGCAATGTGGTAGCAGGTGCATAAAATTTTCGTTTATACTGATGTTTTTACTCGTGGCCACCATGACACTGGATTACATTCTGGGGGAAAAAGTTTGGCATTCAGATACAGAGACTCCACTTGCATTCTCGCTATTGACATTTTCTAATGATAATTTGGTCTATTGACATGTTCTTTCCAAATTTGCAGAGGAATGGAACAAAGCAAACAATCATTGAGGAGGACCTAATAACACTAGGGTCACAAAGATCTGTTTCTCGTAAATGTAAGCTAGCAACACAACAAAAACAACACAGATATTTAAGTACTGCTCTAGAAAATTTTAGAATTTAAGAACTACACATTTTATTTCAGGAAACATATTCAGAGCAAGGGTTGACCGTTAGCACCTACAACTACATCAGCCAGCAGAACCAAGCAGAACCAACCGACTAGGGCAAACAAATTCAGAGCAACGATCGAAAATTAGCGCATACATCTACATCACACGAACTAGCAGAATCAAACGACCAGGGGAACACAAACACACACCACTACATCTAAAAACAAAAAATGCCGGCAGAATCAGACACCAAGGCCAGCAGACAGAAAACTGATAGGGGAATCGAATCCAGCATATCACAACCTCTCTGTTGATATCCGGGCACAATACATACCAAACGAAACGCACAGTTACAACAAACAAACTATATTCTGGAACCAAGCTTGGCCATGAGGTCGTAGATAACAGGGGGATCGGTTGTTGCTATCTTACTGTACGTCCATGACATTTCACAAATCTTTGAACTCCACGCAGGCCTCATTTAGTCCGTAGCAGTGGAGCTGCTCAGCTAAATCAAGGATGTCCGTCACAGAGCTCAGTTTTGTGTACTCTGACAGTCTCTTTGCACATAATGACACGAGCCTCTGAAAATCATACATGTCAGCCGCGGCAAGCAATTCTACTAGCCACACAACCTCAGCGCCGTCTTCTCCTGCTTCTCCTCCCGCCTCCATTTTAGGCATCGAGTCTGTGTAGACAAAATCAAGCAAGGCTTTGAACACATCCGGTTCCATTTCTTTTATCAGTATAGTATCAGTTGTTGTCTCCTTCATCGGACCTGAGAGCATAGCCGTAAACACGCTGGAACGGGCTGCGAGCATGAAGCGGTGAGCTGTAAATGTCTTGTAGCCAACCTCGAACGTCACATCGGTGCAGACCTCCGCCAAGTGGAGATGTTCTAGCTGCTGAATTATGTTTGATGGCGGCACCTCAATGCAGGAAGTCATGATGTTCAAATCACACTTGATAGTGAAACAGTCATTGTTTATGTGTTTTGACTGCTCCAGATCCTCTATTTTCATGAAACGGTGACGACCCCACACTGAGTCATCACTTTTGAATTCAACTACTTGGGATATGTGTCCATGCTCCTGCTTGTCAAGCTCATCAATGAAGCTAAACCGAAGATCCACCTTCACAGGTTGTTCAACATTTTTCTGGTCGAAGCACAAAAAGACAGACATATAACCAGCATGCTTTGAGATGGTACTATTTGGATAGAACGCTAATGACCACAAATATCCTCCAACTTGGAAAGGACGACTTGTAATTCCATTCCCAGTTAGCTTATCTTTGATGTGCGAGTAGCCTTCAATGACAAGCAGGTGATAGCATCTGCTGCTGTCTGTGCCGGGGTAAGTCACCGACTGTTGCAGCACCTTGCCGGCATGAACAATGGAGGCGCCAGCGAAAGACATTAATCTCTGCGATCTGAGCTGGGCAGACGGTGAGCTGGCAGCAGCAAAGGGTGTAGCAAGGGGAGGGCCGCGAGAGCTTTCAGCTGCTGATGGAGGGAGCTGGAGGTAGCGGCAAGGTGTGTGAGACTGGACGGGAACAAAACGAGTGACTTGGGCAGCGGTATGGCACCCTTATCTCTCTCGCTTATTGCAACTCGCCCTTCCACGAGAGCTCCTCGCCAGCACTCGTTGGGCCAAGTAACTCCTGTGAAAATAAGCCCCACATAATAAGCCAGCCAGTTCTTTTCAGTGCCTGATTTTTCAGGTTATATGTGGTATAGCCAGTGAAAAGTCAGTAATGCTCATGCTCATGCACTGTAATGTTGTTCTGATTAAAGTTAAACAATATCAAGTTATTTTTTATCGTTTTGCTCCTATATGAACATAAAATCGACTTCCAAACACCACAACGTGTTATAGTCAAACAAAAGGAAGAACATTGTCTATGCATATGAAGGAAAAATAGTGAATTTATTCATATGCATTGAACACCTCACTGTCAATACAAAATAATACCCACATATATAGGGGAGTACAAAGTACAAACAAAGTGCATATGCATATGAGTAAACATCTAGCAGTGCATTTAATCAACATCATCTAGAAGTTCATGGGAGTACATCTATATTGCATATGCATATGAAGGTTAAACAAAATATACCCATATAGAATTTTGTTTATCAAATACTCCCTCCGTTCTAAAATAGATGACCCAAATTTATATTAAAGTTAGTACAACATTGGGTCATCTATTTTGGAACGGAGGGAGTAGACAATTAGACATATATAGTGCATCATTCAGGGCTACTAACACCTAATGAACATCATCTAGCAGCAAACATTAGGGGAGGACATCTAATCTAAAGGAAAAAAAATCACCCGTGGGGAGAAAAGTCACAGGAGGTCTCACCTTTGCTGCTCCGACGAGCTGCAGATAGGGGTGGCGGGTTAGGACGCCGGAGGAGGGGAATCGAGCAGCCGCTCGAGGCTATCCGCCGTACATGTCCAGGGCGCCGGAGGAAGGGGACTCGAGCGGCGGCAGCTGACTGGGACGGCTCGCGTCGGCAGCGGCTGACTGGGACGGCTCGCGTCGGCAGCGGCTGACTGGGACGGCTCGCGTCGGCGGCGGCTTACGGGGACGGATCGCGTCGGCGGCGGCTGCTCGGGAGAGAAGCCCGCTTTTCTCTTCCTCCGTTCGTGGTGCGGACAAACGAGGCGAGCGAGTGGCGTTTTTTCTGGTGGGCGTGGTGGCATATTCGATGTAATACGTGGGCTATAGCCTTTCGATTTTAAGTGGGCTGGGCCCGTGTGCGTCAAACAGGCGAGCCGCATATGGGCTGGCTCACAGTGGCGCAAACTTTTTTATTTATTTTCTCTTTGGTTTTTCGTCGGTTGTTCTCCAAACAAAACCGGTTGTTGTTTTTTATGAGGCTAAATATTCGAAAACCTAATAATTTTTTATAAAATATTTCGGAAAATTGTTAAGTACTCCCTCCTTCCGACATTTTTTTTTGCTATGATCCTTCCCATATTCTTTGGCATATTAATACTCAGCACGAAAATTAGCACAGTTTAATTGTTATTCGAGCCATCGTGCAAGCTGCTGAGGGATAGGCATTCACGAGAGACCCAACCAGAGTTTTTTTCCATTCCAAGAAAATAGCAAGCATTAGCGGTTGTTGTAATTGAATGAGCGAGAAAAGACCATGTGCATCTTAGATTATGGGATTGCGTGCAAAAACTTACACACCCAATGTTTTGGGAAGTAGGGAGTATGTGTTTATATAAAAAAAAGTTCAGCGTATATTAAAAAATGGTCAATGTTTATTAAGAAAATACCCATCCTATAATAAAAGGAGTTCATTGTATATTAGAAATTGTTCAATCTATATAACCAAAAAAACATCACATGAAAAAAAGTTCACCATATTACTAAAAAGAGTTCAATGTGTATTTAAGAAGAAGAAGAAAACTAAGTCTAAAGAAGAGAAAAATAAAAATGAAAACCCCATCGGCAAACTGAAACAAAAAACCACACACAGAAAAAACCTAGCTTCTAGTCACGAACGTAAAAAACTAAGCCACAACACAACACCCATGCGCCAAATGGGCCAACACATTTTTCCTCTTTCTTCAACGAGGTCGTGACTATATGACGAATGCGGGCGTCATATAGGATCCATAAGTACATATGTCTGTTTATCTCTCTTTTGTGAGATCTTTTAGAAGAACCCCCCCACCACCACCACCAGAGCAGGACCGGTCACTACTACATGTATAAGGAGTACCGCGACACGGCCCTAAAAGGCGGGGTGGAGCAGCTGTACACGGAGATGGCGTCGCGGCACCGCGTGCGTGCCCCTGCATCCAGATCATCAAGACTGCG